CAATATTACATTAATATGCAAAGGAACTTTTTTTCCCCCAATTTGTTTCTCATATTTTGATGATGTTAATGACTCCATCCAAGGGTCAACTTTTGTTTGCATGAAGACGCTCTGCATGCACGTATGTTTATCAGCTGTCCAAGGTCCCTTTCCTAGATTGGGACATATGCTTCATAGAGTCCTGTGGACACACACACACACACACACACACACACACACACACACGACATACATGCAGCAATATGCACCTCAAAGGTACTCATAATGATAGAATAAGAATAAAGAAAAAGGAAACCTGGAGCTTACTAAGAAAATGTACTGATTATATGACCACATGACTTATCTGCCAGACATGATTATTTCGAGCTATATCAGAAAACCAACTGCAGGTACATTTCAAAGGAGCTTCTTTCCGCCAATGACTCTCAACCTCCAAGAATAATAGGTATCAAAATATGAAGTGCTTATCTCCATGCTGCAGCCATAAATCTGCATAATGTGGCATAATGTTGATCTCTAATACTACATGAAGTTTCATATCAAGTAATAAATATGACATCACCTTCATAGGTTATTTTTTATGGAATAAACCAAAGCACTGAAGATCAATGAAATAAGTATTTTTACATATTCTAAAAGCCTCTTACATTACACAGCCAACGACTCAAGACTGAATAGGTCAAATCTCCTGCATTGTTTGTAATATATTGAAGAAAAAGGTGTTGGGTAAGCAATAAAGTTCTATATTCGACAAAGTTTGCAGGGTTAGGGCAGTTTTCCGACTTTCTCCTTTCCTCCATGTACGTTTGAAACAGTTCTGCCAGAAACCTCTACTCCTCTTCTGTACTCTCAAGATAAAAAGCATTTTACTGTACCTTTAGTGGTACTAAGGCGTATCTGTAGGTACGTACCATCTATGGTACTGCAAATGTACTCTCAACAAGAGTACTAAAGTCTTAAGCCTAAAGAGACCCACCTTTAACCTCTGGTGATACCTAATGTATTGGTGCAAGATCTGACTTTTTTTTTTTGGTTTTTTTTTTAAAAAGGTAAAAAAAGAAACTGGGTACCCACTAATTTGTATGATATATTTAATTTTTATATTTTTGTATATTTAAGGACAGAATTTCTAGGTGAAGTCAAGTGGCAGAAGGCTTCCACTTGGGATGTGGTTCTGTTGGCTTCATCAGGTGGTGGCCTCCACCTTGCACTAGAGTGTTTTACAGCTGAGTGTGAAGCAGCAGGAAGGAGAATCAGCACCTCCAAGTCTGTGGCCATGGTCCTCAGCCTAAAACTTCAGGGTCAGGGATGAGTTATTGCCTCAAGTAGAAGAGATTAAGTATCTAGGGGCCTTATTCATGAGTGAGGGGATCATGGGAGTGGGACATCAACAGATGGATTGGTGCTGTGGCTGTGGTGACGCAGACACTGTACCAGTCCATCATAGATGGCAATCTTCTCACCTATGGTTAGTGACTGAAAGAAAGAGGTTATAAACTCATTTCCCCCAAAAAATGAGTTTTTTTGGAAGGTGGTTGGCCTTTCCTTTAGAGAAAGGCCAACTGGGATAGATGTCCCAGTGGGAGGAGGCCCTGGGACAGACACAGGGCATACTGAAGAGATTATATCTCTCAGTTGGCCTGTGAATGCATTGGCATCCCCCAGACAAGCTGGAGTAGGTGGCCAGGAAAAGGGAAGTCTGGGCTTCTCTGCTCATGTTGCTGCCCCCAAGACCCGGCAGCAGATAAGCAGAATAAAATGGATAGATATTTTAATTTTATGTTTTATTTTGTAAAATAAGCAAAGGAAAGTGGAGAAATTTGTGTTTGGCTGATTATTTTTATGTTGTAACAGTACCTCTTGGCAGTATACCATCAGACATTAGGTGCTTGGTGACAAGCATGCCACATTTGCCTGACTTGGTATTGTGCAAAATGAAGTTGCAGCATTATTTGGAGTGAGCCTTAGAATCATCTCCAAATTTAAGGGGATATACAGTGGGGCAAAAAAGTATTTAGTCAGCCACCGACTGTGCAAGTTCCCCCACTTAAAATGATGACAGAGGTCAGTAATTTGCACCAGAGGTACACTTCAACTGTGAGAGACAGAATTTGAAAAAAAATGCATGAATCCACATGGTAGGATTTGTAAAGAATTTATTCGTAAATCAGGGTGGAAAATAAGTATTTGGTCAATAACAAAAATACAACTCAATACTTTGTAACACATAACCTTTGTTGGCAATAACAGAGCTCAAACGTTTACTATAGGTCTTTACCAGGTTTGCACACACAGTAGCTGGTATTTTGGCCCATTCCTCCATGCAGATCTTCTCGAGAGCAGTGATGTTTTGGGGCTGTCGCCGAGCAACACGGACTTTCAACTCCCGCCACAGATTTTCTATGGGGTTGAGGTCTGGAGACTGGCTAGGCCACTCCAGGACTTTCAAATGCTTCTTACGGAGCCACTCCTTTGTTGCCCGGGCGGTGTGTTTTGGATCATTGTCATGTTGGAAGACCCAGCCTCGTTTCATCTTCAAAGTTCTCACTGATGGAAGGAGGTTTTGGCTCAAAATCTCACGATACATGGCCCCATTCATTCTGTCCTTAACACGGATCAGTCGTCCTGTCCCCTTGGCAGAAAAACAGCCCCATAGCATGATGTTTCCACCCCCATGCTTCACAGTAGGTATGGTGTTCTTGGGATGCAACTCAGTATTCTTCTTCCTCCAAACACGACGAGTTGAGTTTATACCAAAAAGTTCTACTTTTTGGTATAAACTCGCTGGAGGCACAGTGAGGCACAGTGAGAAAACATGGCACCATCATCAGATGAAGAATAAAGAGAGTAACCAATAGAGGGTAGATTTTTAGGGACAGAACTTCAGTTTGAGATTGTACAGTAATACAAAGTCATAACCATTATGAATTTGAGAAAAAGTTATAGTTTTAGAATTATTTTTCTCTACAGATTTTAATTTGGTAGCAGCCATATTAAGCTTTAGTGATACAGAAAAGTATCCATCTGTTCTAAACTGACCTGATACAAGATTTTGTGGTGAAGTGTAATGTAAAGCATATTAGCATCTTCAATCAGTCAAATGCTTTGTCTGCTCATTTTTCCAGAAATGTTTCAGTTTTTGTCTTTATCATTTTTTTATTTTTCTCTTTTCTTGTGTTTAGTCATCTTCCTCTACTTCAGTCTTCTTCCCTTTATTCTATTGCTCTCTTACTGTTCTCTTTTCCCTCTGCTTGTCTCTCTCCCTTTAAACTGTTCCCTATGTGCCCACGCACCATAACCAAACCAGCCTGCTTATTCATGTTTCACTGAGGTATCACTTTATTTCTGTGCTATTATTTTTTCTGTGTAGTCGCCTCGGTATGACTTGCCCCAGACAGCGCTACGCTGTCCCACCCTCATTATATTTTCACACTTCGCTTCCCTAGGACACAAAATGCACACACATTTCCACACACACCAAATGCATTATGTGTGTCTTTTGTTTATGCCAGCTTGGGTTCAATGGAAATCCATCTGTGTGTGGGGTTTTTTTTGTTTTTTTGTACGTGTGTATAGGGAAATGTAATAATTTATTCTTTTTTTGGTGTTTTTACCACAGTAGGTTGCCTTGTAGGTTATTCATTCATGATAGTTTCCACAGTATGCTTATTGTTATCATCAGGACCTGTCATCACTACAAAAACACTGCACTATAGGCATAAAACTTTCGTAAGTAGGTTCAAATTTTTTTTTTAAATTATCTTTTAAAAATGGATAAACATTAGTATATATTGATAGCAAATCAAACGTAACTTTTATTTTACATATATTGCTAACCTGCCAAAGCTTAGCTTAAACAGACAATAAAACACACTGCTGTCACCCTACTCAATCCTGCTAAATCCGAATTGATTGAAAGAAGGAGGCACCTTTCTTAAAGTGTGCAATATCCACTTTACACCAGAAATAAATAATAAGAATCACGGAATATAGTGAAATTAAAATATTTTGAAATACCCTGTACAGTATAAGCAAAACTGTTTTAACATTTGGTGAAAAAGTTCTTTTGTAGTAAGCAGCTGGTAAGCAGGTGTTTACCAAAATAAGTTTCCAGGGCATTACGTGCATACATCTGAATCTCTGGCAACATTTATGGTACTGTAACCGAAGACCAAAGCTAGCTTAAAAAAAGAACCATTCTCTTCCTTGACTTTACTAAGCTGTAACATAATGAAATATTTATGGTGGGGGCATTTAGCTTCACAATTAAACAGGTTACAGTAAGTGATCAATTCTGTGCTTCAGTGCATTCCCAACAGTGCTTTCATCAGAATTCCTTGCCCTCTTTGGAACTGAGATACTGCATCAAAACCACAGTAATCTGAGGCTACAAACTCCCAATGTTTATGAAATGTCTGGCAAATATGCTGGAAGATGGATAAAAATTGAATGTAAATATATGGAAATAAACTGCAAAGGAGCAATATGTCATTTTTGATATATGCCTGTGTAAGGCCTTTAGAATAGGGATGAAAAACAGCGATGCATTAATGTAACCTGTGATGCTCAGTCTAACACTAATATATAAAACTGTGAGCTAATGTGTTCGCACATATTTTGCCTTGTAAAGAAACTATAGAGAAATACAATGTATTTTGATCTGTGTTGGTGGTTTTTAACACGTATGATTTATTTAGAAAAGCTAATTGATGTGTGCATATGTTTATATCAGTATATGTAAAAATGAATAGATAACACAGCCCAGTCAGCCTCGCATTTAAATACTTGAATTTATGTTGGCAGATGATTAGCTGCTTTGGATTTCTGTAAAAACTGAGGCTGTAAACAGTAAACATTAGATATTTGTTTAATGAAAGGAGTGTTTTTATAATTCTAATGTTAATTATTTTCTTTTCATTTTTCTTGTCTCCATCCTTTTTCTCTTATGCTTTTTTCTCCTTATTTCTCATTTTCCTCATTTATCACCCATCTCTCATCAGTGTCTGACAGCCCCTCAGTAGCAGCAGGCGGTGGACCAGGCGGAGGGCCGGACATCTCCCAGTCCCACTTCTCCTCCTCTCTTCCCACCTACCTCCCTGTCCAATGCCAACTAAGTGGTGCTGATTCCGCCTTCTTCCTGCGAGAAGCCAATCAGGAGGTTATGCGAAATGGCAGCCTATCATCACGGACTGAGCCATTCTTTCTCCACCAGCTAGAACCAGGCATTTCTGCCCCACACTCTCTGCCAAGTGTAAACTGCAGTTATGGAAATCTGAGCACTGAGCAGCCAATCCCTGTGGAATTGCTTCAAGGTCCACCACCACACCTGCTCCTTTCAACAAACCGTGTGACGTTGAACTGGAAGGTCAAAGGTCAGGTAGTTGTGCCTAAAGTGGGATCAACAAGGCCCTGGATACAGGTATTGTATTGTTTTATATTGTTTATATGTTTTTTCAAACATATACTGACTTAACTTTGAGGCTTCACATACAATACACTTACCCATTCAAGAATCAAGAAGCACTAGTTACATCATTTGGTAATTTATTTACCTGTATGTGCTTGCATTCAGCTTTATTTAATACTTAAAAATTGATTCAATTTATTATTCAATGAAAACAATGTAAATGCACCTGCTCTTAGAGACATGTTTTTTTTTTTATCCTGTTAAACCTGCTTCAAATATTTTCGCCACTAGGGGTGGTAGGGAGTAAAGTTGAACTAGAAAGCTTCTCAGCAAACACATGTTTGCATATTTGGGAGAAAGGAAGGATATTAGTATTTATCATATTTATATCCATCTGATTGGAGAAGCTCCCATATTCAATTTCTGTCCTCTCTGTTATGGTTTCCTCAAATTCTGAAAGGAAACAGTACAGTTCTGTAGCAGCTAAATACTCCATTATGTTCATAGGCTAGTTGCCCATTTTTTGTGCCATACAGCAGGGAAATGTAAGAGCAGTGAGAGTAAGCCAAAACAATAAAGCTGTGGTTCAGAAAATTAAACCAATGAGCTGTAAAGCTAAGAGGCTGCAGAGTCAGGTGATAATTCTTTATCACTTTATCACCAGGAGAAATACCCTTTACACATAGTAATTTGGTCCAGTGCTTATACAACATAAAAACATTAAGTTGCCCAGCTTTAATGAATAGACGAATATCTGAGATCTTTAAATGACAGGGAAGAAAATGGTTTTATAAAACAGAGAGACAGATAACTTATAGTCTTTGATTGCGTCTTACTAGCTGTCCAGATTTTTCCATTATGACATTATAGGCTTTTGTTTCTTCTTCAGGTATTATTTTACCTGGTAGGGCAGCGTTGGGATGAGCCTGAACCACCTCCATCATCCCTCCTCCCATGCATCAGGGCCTTGGCCATCCGTGACACTAGTGAAGCAGCACCCTCGGCAGGCTGCCGACTCATGGGACCATCTGGTATCTGTGTTGTCCGTCTGGAGATTCCCCCAGCTTGGTTTACACCACCACAAGTGAGAAAGAGACCTCCTGAAGTGGCGCTACCATCAGTGGATGTGTATTACTCAATTATACCAGTGGAAGGTGCTGGTCAAGAGTGTCCCTCCACTGTTAATGAGCCATGGAAAGCTCCAAGTGCAAACCCTGGGCCACATGGTGGTCTGGCTATGGGCCTTGGGGGGCAGTGGAGCACCCTAGTGGATGAAGGTCTTCAAGACATGCTGAAAGTTGGTTCTGTTGCAATGAGCATGGGCCCTGTTTCTGCCAAAGGAGAAAGACTACAATTAGATGACAATGTGGAAGTTTTGGAGCCTCCCAGTCCTGTTCGGCTTGGCAGAACAGTGGCTTTTGCCATCTACATGAAGACAACTTCAAATACGGAACAGTTTACATTGAGGTGGGAATGCATACACTTTCACTTTATCGTCTGGCTTCGTTTTTATTTGTCATTCTGATATGCATTTCAGTTTCACTCTGGTTCTTTTTCTGTCATCTTCACTTATTTCTTTCCTTCCCATCCGCTCTCTCTCTTCTTTCAACACCGCCGCCTCCCAAGGTTGATGGCTGTCACCTTTGTGTACTCAGCCTCTTTCAGGAGCCAGCAATGCAAATAACAACTTCATGAATATTCATGTGTGAGCCAAGGAGGAAAGAAAACACTGAAAATGAAAAGCAGGAAAGGGAAAGGGTAACACTGAGGGACTTAAGGTTGGGAAGAGAGACAAGTATAATAAAAGGTAAAAAAAAAGTCATGCAAGGTCAGCTACATTACGTTTGTTCTGACATAAGCAGCAGGATGTTTTCAGGTGGCTGTTTGTAGGGGGAATAAAATCTTTTCTGGTGACATAACGTTTATAACCCCTGATCTTGAGCTATTATGGAGATCTGCATTCAGTCTCTGCCTCATCATTTCACTGTCTTTAGGGATTTCAGGCTGACAAATGATAGATGTGCAAGTTTATCATTCTATTTAATGTACATCCCAACACACATTGATGTGGCTTGCTGTAGTATTACCATAAAATTGTACTCCTACGAGGGTTAAAACAATTCAGGATATTTTGGGGAGCTTTGTGAACCATGTTATGACTCCCTTTGTCACATTAGGCCTGGCTTACTGTGTTTTAACATTTTCAAAGGATTTCATTTGATTTAGCTAGTGAAGGCTGGACAGCAAAAAGTACTTGGAACAGCTTTAGCTGATGCACATTTCCAAACGATGTGTTGCCTCAAGATATTTTCTGGTAAGTAAGGTGTCTTGAGCTGTTTCCACTCATGTATCAGGAGAATATCAGGATAGTCAAACATTTGTAGTTGTGTTTTCTCACATGTAACACATAGCAAGAGATAGTCAGCCTCAGAATCCTACAACTGGAAACAATCGGTTTGCTTTAGACAGGGCTGCTGCCTGAGTAGAGCTTTCAGGAGGCAACATGTGTGACATCCATTTACTCGTTGCAAATTCACTGGACAATTATCTGCTGTACTTTCACATGGTGCAATAATGTCTGCACGGCGTGGTTTGCACATTTGCATTTGTATGCAAAAATCCTCAGTTCAAAATCAGAACAAGACATAAACGTGCCCTCAGTGGGTCATAAGGTATCGTACTCTTAGTGTTAGTCCCAAGCTTCCAAAAAAGAATCTGTGTTAAATCAAAAATGTGGTTCCAGCTGCAGTGGAGAGTCTTGGGAGACGAGTGAACAGCCAGAAGAACCTTTATTCTTACATGTGTGCAGTTGGACATAACTTGGGCTTGGGGACTGCCATGTTTAAGACAGCCAGACTAACTGATTATATATATATATATACTTCCAGCAGGTGATCTAACTTGATGCCTAATTCCTTTTTTTTTTGTACTGCACATTTGGATCATTTATGTTAAGTAAACTGATTTATGTAATCAAGGGACATATTTACTACCACAGACAGTCAAAATTGAGATTGATATTAAGCAAGTCAAAATCCTTTTACCATCAATTTACACTTAATGTGATAGTTCATCTTTAACCGCCACCAAAGTTTATTGTTGTTTACTTACGCTATTAAGAGATATTTTGGAATGGTTGGCATACACAATTGAGTAATTTGCACCACATGAACAGTTGCAACAAGGCTAGCAGGGGAGTCGGTAAAACACTGGTTATACACATTCAGAGTCACCATAAGGAGGCAGGACACAGAGTTGTGTTACTGGGGTTTTATGCATTAACTAAGGGACATAAAAGCCCTGCCTAGTTGGCTCAACAATAACAGCTTGCAAAGCTGGTAATGACAGAACTGTTTATTAAACACTTGACTGTTAACGTCTGATTCTGGTCAAAATGAATGGTCAGCCCCCAAATATTATTTATTTTAACTAAATTAACTGGCAGTTGGTATTGGCAGTTTGGTGTCATGAAATGGCATCCCAAATCATTGTGCACCTTATTGTTATGCATTATCCATGCCATCAATATCCTAACCCTGAGATGCATGCTAACCCTAACCTTTTCACATGTCATTTGACAGCATCAAATGACACCAGATAAAGGTTATGGCTAAGGTAAAGACCAGGGTTAGGACCGATAGTTGAAGAGAGAGATAGAAAATCAGTGAAAAATGCATTAAGATCCATCCATCCATCCATTCGCTTCCGCTTATCCTTTTCAGGGTTGTGGGGGGCGCTGGAGCCTATCCCAGCTGTCATAGGGCGAGAGGTGGGGTACACCCTGGACAGGTCGCCAGTCTGTCGCAGGGCCAACACACAGGGACAGACAACCATTCACACTCACATTCACTCGCACATTCGGATTGGATTATCCAATTAACCTATCCCCACATTAAGATGACAAGTGAAATATAGTCGCATGCTAATCATATGCATTGTTAGTTTAACTAAGCATTTTAAAAATACAAAAATACAGTTTCTGAGGTTATTTTATGATGAAAAGATGTTATAGATCAGTGTTCTTATATCTTCAAACAAATCAATACATTTACAATTAATAGATTAAAAATACATAACCACCTGCACCAGTTTGTGGAAGCTATCCTGTTGCTTTTTGAATAAAGCTTTCTGCCCAATTGTGTTTTATGTATGTGACTAAAGACTGGCCACTTACGTAGTGCATCAAATGCAAAGTAGACAAGAACTCGTAGGTTTACTTGCTCGATTTACATTGACAGGTAAACAGAGAAGTGACAGCCTACACTCACCACAGATGAACAGCAGTCAGAGTTGTTTCACTTACATTTAGATTATGCACTTGAATTTGATGTGAGAAAACAGAATTCAGTTGACTACAGTCTGCAATCTAGTGGTGAGATTTTACACACTCTACCTTTAACACTATAATCTAAGTCAGTTTGACACATGTTCCTTACAGATACAACTATATCTAAAGTTGTGCATTTCTTTGCACAGCAAATGTGAAGTTGATCTCAGGACACAGAAGGAAACAAGAGGCGGCCAGAGTGCAATGCAACTTGTCTTGCTACCTGCTGACAAACACACACACAGACACAGAGGGAAATAAATATTCCACCAACATCCAGTGTTATTTCTCTCTGCCATGAATACACGCATACATCATATGAACATTCATGCATACTGATGATGTTTGTTTTATGTGTGTGCATTAAGTGTGTATTGAAGCACACACCCAAACACAAAAAACACAAACTTACCTGTTGAAGTGATGAGATGTGATGTTTTGGTTCCCCCTACAGACACTTTGTCTCTGCCTTCATCGTGGAACACCATTGTTGTGTGTATGTTTATGCATTGTCTTGTGGGTATGCAGTTGTGCCTGGTACTGCTATGGAAAGAAAGTGTATGGAATAAAAATCATCCTTTCCTTTTTTCCTTTCCTGTTATTTATTGTGGCTATCTCGAATTATGCTTTGTTTCTGCTTCCGTTCAGTGTTTTTTCTCTCCTAGGTTTGTCCACTCATTTTTCCACGTTTGAAAAACGTCCAACTTCTATTTTACATATTGCACTTATCTCCTATCTTTATGTCTCGGTTGAGAAATGTGCCTGTTTACATGTGTGTGTGTGTCCTACCTGCAAGTCTTGCCCTTTGCCCAAGCAAACAGTTCAATGGATAATCTCCCATGTTAGACGCAGAGTCAGACATGTAATAAGGCTTAAGTGGATTTCATTCCTGTGCGTGAGCGTGAGCGGGTGTGTGAGTATGTATGTGTACGACACATAATAAGCCTTAAGTGTGCTGCATTACGCTGAGGTGATGTGATTATGATAAACTGCTGAAGAGATGGAGGGACACGGAGAGAAAAGGAGTGAGAGAGACATACAAGAGTGAGAAATATTAGAAAATGGAAGAAATGAAAAAGAAAATTATTAGAAAAGTCTTAAGAGAAATGGGTAAGAAAGTAAAGCATTTCACTTGCCTTTCTTCTTCGTACTTCTGAAAAATTAACTAAGAATACGATGGAAGGACCAGTGACAAGAGGCAGCATGTGTTAACTAAATTGGACTGGGCATCCTTCCTGTATCAACTGGCCTTGAGCTTGTAGTCTCACATAACCATACATGATTCTGTCAGTTTGGGAAGAAACTACATGTCTACAGACAATGAGCTCAAACTGTCTAAAAGTGTGGTACTGATTAAGTTACACTGCCAAGTTTTCCTCCTCCAGTTCTTTTTTCCAGTCATAGCTTTTACTCTGGTCATTTTAAATGTTTCATTTTTCTACTACTTTGACTACATTTAAACAAAGTTAAAGGTTTCACCAGATACATCTCTGTTATCACTCAACTTCTCTTTGAACATCCAATGTGGTTTTAAAATAGATAGCTCTCGGTGTGTAATGTTGTTACTACCATGCTGCTTTGAGTTCATTAATATCCTTTTATGGACTAAGAAGAAAATTAGAAGTAAAAATCTATCCATCCGTCCATTTTCTTCCACTTATCCAATTCAGGTTCACCAGGGGGCTGGAACCCAGTTGGCTCTTGCTCATATTTTAAACATAACTAGCAGCCACTTTCTCATCATTCAATTTTCAAGTAGTCAGTTTTTTTTTAATATTAGTTTTTTTTTCAAAATATAAAAAATACTGTTGTGTAGAAACAGACATTTGACAAATGTTTTTCTCAAACTCCCCTTCACAGAGCAACTGTCTGCTCATTAACCATGTGACTGAGTGAAACGAAACATCATCAATTAACAGAACAGACATGCTAGATGAATTTCTAATTAGTTTTTGACACGCGCAAGCTTGGGCTTTTATAAACAATCAAAGAACTCTGTGATAATGGGTCAAGCATAAATTGACTCTTGGACTCTTTGTGCCTTAGCCTGTATTTCTGAAAGGCAAAGAGGAGAACATGGGGAGGAGAAAACACCTGAGAAAAGAAGCCAGTCTTTTTTTGTGCTCATTGTGTTATTCTT